CCGTATTGACCTCGCTATCGCTCGGTCAATACGGCAAGGCCTCAGTTTGAGATTTTCCCGTAACGACCTCACTCTCGGTTATTAAGTAGTTATTATTAACCCTTTTGTAACACAGTGTGACACAGAGTAACACAGTGTGAGATCAAAAACTGCTCATAGCACAAAATAATGTCCAGTCAGTCATTGCGTCAATCTGGAATAATCACTTAGCTTTAAAACGACATCACTGAACAATGTTAAAGGAGTCTCAGCTGAACCTTTAGAGGTAAAATGCCCTTGAAGTGTCTGCTTATTGCAGGTTTTGTGCAACAAAATGGCTTGATATTGGTGTACGTGCTCACTTAACAGAGGTGTCTGCTGAATGCAGGTTTATTTAACAGTTAATGTGGGAAGAAAATTTAGGGACTCAAGCTGGTGTCCACTTAAAAGAGGGTGTCTGCTTAAAATGGGGTCTGCTTGATAGAGGTCTCACTGTATTCTCGAGTCAACCTTGCCCGCACTGCTAGAACCTACTTGTATCCTGGTTTTCATAGGATGATCCAAGCAACAAGAAGTATTGCTTTGTAGCCCCCTTGGTGGTGTGTTAGTCCAATGCCAGCTCACTCCCTCCCCAACATCATACCAGGTTTCTGTAACAATCTGCCAGTACTCATTGATATTCCAAGGTGTAGAGAGAAACTGTGAGAAGAAAGTGTCAAGATTGCCTGAGGACACTTAAAACACAGTCACCCCAACCAGCACTTAGACTTGAACTGCTTGCTCTGAAGTCCAGCATGCAAACCACTGGGCGTTGTTAGCCGCACTTACTTGCGAATTTTGTTTGCTGGATCTCTCTCACGTGTTCCGGATTGCCATCTTGTTGCAATCCACTGGAAAAAAGATGGCGGCTGTACATTTTACCACAATACCTTGCGAACCTAACACAGCCTATATGGCACAAAGAAAGCCAAATTTTTACAATATTTGTTCCTGTGCTGAGGACATTGTGTAGCCTAGGTTTGAAGATTTTATAACTTTTCTGCATGTTTTTATGAGCATTGTTTAGGTTTTCTTGCGCTAAGAACTATGGGTAAATGTACCAGTTACCATCTTTTTTCCTATGGAGGACTGTGTTGTAGTTGTAGTGTTTGTCTTGAAACAGTTCAGAGTTCGCTATTTTCGGGTCATCTTGTCCTTATTACTGGCACAGTGCAAACCTTACAATCCTTTTACAATTCATCACATTGTATATAACTTTGAAGTTTATTGTACCATCAGGGTAGCAGCACTTGTGAATGATTAAATAAATTTGGTAGAGCCAACCTGAGAGCACAGATAGTCTCTTTGTCACATTTGCACCTCATAAATGACCAACATGTAGTTTGCCATGAGTTTCTCAGACCTCAGTGGTTGGGAGCATCTGTCCAAAGAGGGAAAGGACACATGTTTGACTCTTGTAGGGACAAAGAATTTTTCATTTGTTCAATGCTCATGGCAAACTAATACAAGTTACTTTCTACAAATTTTTCTTGTCATGCACGCAATCTACTGTTCATCATTCTCAGAAATCTCAGAGGGGTTTCTGAGAATGATGAACAGGTACCACAGAAGTGGGTTGATTTAGAGAAAACATATCAGTAGGGAATCTGAATAGTATTTTGGTTATCCCTTTAATCCCTAAAATGTGTCTATTTAAAGAAATCATGGGGTGGAATCACAACTGTCTAAGTCGCATGCATGACTGTAATAATCACTGAATAGATGTCTCTGAATCTTTTTGCTTCAGTTCAAATACAGTTAGACCCTGGTTATTTGAACTCGGTTATTTTGAATTCCCCATTATTTCGAACTCAAAACCATTTCCCTCGGTTATGTTCTTCAGTGATTTACTATCACCTATTTTGAACTCTTGGTATTTCAAACTACAGTATTTTTTGATTCCCCTGCGAGTTTGAAATGGCAGGGTTCTACTGTTGTTACATTATATTACCATACATAATATATGGATGTTTTCTTTTACTGAATGTAATAAGATATACGTACTTGATACATTGATTTTCTTTGTTTATGGACAGAATTTTTAGCATTTTGTCTGCTGTTCTTCGCATCGGAAACATAAACTTTTCACGGGTATGATTTTCTTCTTAATTTATAGCTTTTTAAGTGGATGAGATCACTTCCTAATAAAACACATTGTGTCTCACTTGTATTCGCACTATCAATTGTGCAGGTCCAGAAAATACCCATACCCCCCTCACAGAAGGGATTGGAATTTCCCTGGGGGGTGGGGGGTTCTGTAAGACCAAAAAATTTAAAGAAATGTGTGAAGCTTTGTTGGAATTTCCAGAGGGGTGGGGGGTCTTAGAAAAAATCCCTTCCATGGGGGAGGTATGGATATTTTCTGGAACAACACATTGTTTTTCTCTGTAGAGACCAGGTCACGAAGAAGCAACCATCAAGGACAGTGAGGATTTCACTATCAACATTGTGTGCGATCTTCTCATGGTGAGTGGCTTTATTAAAGAAGAAAAACGATATGTAGGGTTAGATCAAAAATTAGGTAACCAAGGATTTAACTCACTTGACAATTCTGGTATTGACAAGTTTTGTGTAACCCATTACATACAGGTGACTCGCCATAATCTTGTCGGGGTCTTGACAACCAAGAAAACTAAAACCAGAAATGAACAGTTTATTGTACCCTACAAGTATGAGGAGGTGAGTTTTATTATTCCAGCTTCCCCTTGGGACAAGTACAACTAGCTCTCAAATAATGCAAACTTGCCCTGGGCAGGTCTTAAATTGCTCTTTTAATGATATAGATGGCAGATGACTTAGTATACCTGATCTTTTTTCCATCAGGCAAGTGAGAATGAGAAAGGAAAATCTCCTTGATCCAGACAACTGAACAACACTTTTTTCAAGTCCTGAGTTTGAATTCTTTGATGTAACTTCCTCTTGACACAAAAAAGAGCTGGCTAGCACTTAGTAACTTGCAATTTATGTCTGTGTGACCTTTTTACGTGAACTTTCTGTGTGCATGATATTTCAAGTATATAACAGATCTGAACTATGTCTACCCTCACCCGTATAAACTTAAACTAAGGCATTTTGATAAGCTTAAGTGCAGAGCGACGCAGGGAATGTATTTGTACAAATATATGGGACCAAGTTTGCAGTTCTGTTGTTCTCCAAGGATATAAAGCAGTTCCAACTTCTTCTTAACAGACTTTTTTTTTTCCTTTGGTTTAGGCCATAGCCACCAGAGATGCAATGGCCAAAGCCTTGTACGGCACCTTGTTTGACTGGATTGTATTACAAGTGAACCATGCACTGGCTATGAAAAAATCCACCGTTGTAGAGGTACGGCAATTATTTGAAGGAATAGGTCACTGATAGAACTTTTATATTCGTTGCATGGCAGAAATCTTGAAACGTTAATTTAGCAACATCAGTGGTCACAAGACAAGAGTTCAATTAAAATACACGCAAATGTATCGTTTTTTTTTCACTGCGAAGATGATTATTGTATTTTTCATTATACTTTGGAAATGCAGTTTGTCTTTCAACAAGATTTAATGTTCAAACCTGCAAAGGAACAAACTTATTGTAAACAGAGAAAAATGTGGGAAAAACAGGAATGTAAGGATTAAAGTGGTTTGTTCAATTTCATGCTCAAATCAAAGTCGAAAAGTTACATTTTTGTGAAGGAATTAAGAAGCACCACTGCTTGGTGATTTCAGGGATGCTCTATAGGAGTTCTGGACATTTTTGGATTTGAAGATTACCAGCATAACAGCTTTGAACAATTCTGCATCAACTTTGCCAATGAGAAGCTTCAATTCTACTTTAACAAACATGTCTTTAAACTGGAGCAGGTGAGTTTGTTGTAATGACTTAAGCAATAAAGGGGCTATGTCAAGGTATGTGACATACAAAGTTACCTTCAAACTCAGGAAAACCTCAGAAGAAAATTTTAACACAATTGCTATTCATCTAGCAATCTGATTGGCTAATTTGCCGTTGTCGATAAGAGTCCAGGCAACGCTGCTTGCGTCAATGTGTTACGCTCTTGGTCACGCCCTGAAAAAAAAAAAAAAAAAAAAATTTAACCACTGTGATGACGCATTTCATTGTCGATAAAAGTACAGACAACGCTAAACCACTTTCGATTTGTTAAATTGACTAAGGTAGAAAAAACACAGTAAAGAGTAAAGAATAAAACTAGCTTAAGGGACATTAACATGAGTTGAGTATGTGCGAGCTTTCAATCTACAGTTTGAAAGCGTCTGACAACGATTGCAATCTCGTGCAAAATTTAAGATGGCGTTGACAAGTGGAGACTATGCAGAGAATCTACCTTGGCCAGTTGAGCTACCAAATCATAATTTTCTTAAGAATCTGCATGCACCTAGCTTTCTACTGACATATTGAATGTAGAATTCTGTGCAGATATGCTGGAGAAAACAAGTTATCTATGACAAAATATTTGAAACAATGGTTAAGATATACTGAGGACTAATTGCCCATCAACATTCAAACTTCTCTTACTGGTCACAATAACCACGGTGGAATCCCGATGTTTCGAACCTCCAAGGGAAACGAAATTGTTTTGAAAAATCGGGTAGTTCGAGAAATCGGGGGTAAAATTACGGTGTTCTACTGAGGGAGGGAAATGACTTTTGGTTCGAGTTATCGGGAGGTAGAAAAAAGTGAGGGTTCGAGAAATTGGGATTCCACTGTAGTTGGATGTCTCTAAACAAGGCAAATTTTCTTTGGTTACCATTTGGTTACATGTTATTCCCTTAGCTATCTCTTATGATACTCTGCTGATTCTGTGAGGAGCAATTTGGTGAATTGGACTTTGTACTTAAAAAAGCTGGTAAAACAAAAACTGTAGACAACATATACAACATATATGCTTTATGGACATACTTAAATTTGTGCTTTCCAGGATGAGTACATTTCCGAAGGTATCGAGTGGAGGAGTGTAGACTTTGTGGACAATGCAGCCTGCCTGGACTTGATCTCAGGCCGACCAACAGGCCTGCTAAACCTGATTGATGAAGAGAGTAGGTTAGTCTACTGAATCTGGACAGACATCTGGAATATCTGCCCATGAACATTTGTTTTAGTGTGTAGTTCCAGAAATTATCTATACCTCCCCTGGGAAGGGTTTTTTTTTTTCTAAGACCCCCACTTCTCTGGAAATTGCAATTGAGCTTCATAGGTTTCTTTAAATTTTTTGGTCTTATAGAATCCCCCACCCTACTCCCAGGAAATACATTGTTGCAATACAATTAATTCCAATAAAGGGAACATAAATAGTCTATAGTTAACCAGAATATTTACCTTCTTTGCTCAGTTTTCCTGGAGCCACAGAAAATTCTCTGTTGGCCAAACTGGACAAGAACCATTCAGGTCACAAGTATTATGAGCAGTCTCTCATACAACAAGCGTTTGTCATCAAGCATTACGCAGGAAGTGTCAAGTATAACATCGAGGTTAGTCTGCTGTTCTTGAAGTATCAATTCTCCAAACTTGATAACCCATGTTTCTTTTATGGGTCAGTCAATTCCAGCAGTTCCCATCCCCCCCGCCCCCCAGACTAAACCCCGGGCATAAGCATTTTTTTAAAAAAATGGGCAAATTCACCGGGGTGGGGACACATAAGCTGTCTAAATGCCCAGGGGTTGGGAAGCAGAAAGAGGGCAAATACCCCGCCCCCGGGATCGTCGCCTTCCAACACCTCTGCAGTTTTTTTTGTTAATCAGTTAATAAAACGTTCAACTGTTCGGTATTCTAATGCAACGGTAACGACAACAGGACGTGTTAGTTGATTCTGATTATTTATATATTTCTTTATATTTTGTTTTTAACAGTTTGCTGGAGGATAGTGTGACATTAAATACTTTGTTGTGTAACAACCATTTGTTTTGAATAATTCGACTAGGATAACGACAATCCCGTTAACAATGTTTACAATAAAACAATTATCATTAAATGATGATGAATTGCATTTTAAGCTTGCAAGATCTGTCTTGAAGATCGCATCATTTGAATTCGCAAACCTTAAGTATTTTAACTCCACTTTCATGAATTTAAAAAATGCTAGGCTAGTTTTGAATGCGATATACGGAATAGTCGTGTTCATGTCAGTGATTGTTTTGTGATAAACAAAATATAGTTCACCTTGTCACTTATATTTATATGCTTTCAAGTAATGAAGAAATATCTAAAATTGAGAAAACATACCTTTAAAAACATCTGCAAGTTTCTCTAGTCCCTGACGGACGAGCCATTGTTCGAATAACGCCTCGTCTTTCCCGATGAACGTATCCATGGCACTTTCGAAAACACGTGTGTCAAATGCCCGGGGATCGCCTCGGGGTACGCAAATGCCCAGCCACCGGGCCGCGATAAAATTGCGGATGCCCCACNGGGGGGGGGGGGGGGGGGGGAAATGGGCACTGCTGGAATTGGCTGATGCATTAAGGTTAGTGCTGAGAATTTGGCAGTAGATCAAGATAATATCATTATCTTCTTCGTGGTGATTTTCATATTCTCAAAACCTTTCTTCGTAATAGCGTAGTGAAAATTCAAAAGACTTTGTAAGGAAAAATTATATGTTGATAGCTCTTGGGAATTAAATGATTAATGTAGCCGCTTAGTAGTTCTATATTAGTACTCTCTCGAAGTGTCTAAATAAACTGCCCTCCTTTATATTTTCAGTGATAATTTTAGAGATATCGAGTACCTCGATATTTGAAGTAACAGGAACTGGCCTGTCCGTTTATTTGTGTTTGATAAGGAATTTAATTTGATGTACAATAACATGTATATTGGAGGTTGTGCGAAATATTGGGAATATAATGAAATGTCTAGCATCTTTCTTGCAGGGATTTTTAGACAAAAACAGAGACCTTATGAGACCAGACATTTTGAGTGTTCTCAAGAACAGTGATTCCAGATTTGTGAGAGACTTGCTTGGTGAGTGATAAGGCTTTTCCATCCGTGCGTCTACAGGTGCATATGTACTTGCGGTAACAGTCTTAAAAAGGAAACTTTTAAACTTTGTCTAGACACATCCCGTATTTGTCACGCAACGACTCCTCTCAATATAACCGCAGCATTGGAGCCTGTCACGCGAATGTCTTCTCATTATTTTGTTTTTCTTTCGTAGGAGCTGATCCGGTGGCTGTGTACAGATGGTCAATTGTCCGGTCATTCTTCAAAGCTGTGCATGCTTTTAAGATGGCTGGTAGAGAGCATCGTTTAAGTAAGAGAAAAATTATTTGCTAATGCTACTGCCAAAAAAAAAAAAAAAAAAAATTAAAACATTATTTAACTGGAGGGACAACAATTTGATACATTCAGATTCTGGGTTCTATTTGTAAGTTGCATACAGCGTGTCAGATTTGTTTTCAAAGCTAGTTTCCCAGAACAAAAGTAGCAGCTCTGCCGATTGAAAAACTTTGCGTATTGTTGGTGAGGGTTTGGAGAGTGAATTTCGGTGTACAGTATGCTGTAGATGGAATAGTCAATCGCAGTTAACCTTGTAGCACTTTTGCCAAGTTTCCCCCAGTAGTTCGCCGGTTCCTTCCTGTACTCCCGGGTATTAAGAAGCACTGTTAATATAACTGTCTCTTCTGAGTTCACAAAACGAAAGAAGAGGCCAACCTTTACCACTTATCGCTTCCCTCCCACTACTTTTTGTAATGATTTACTTGAACTACGGTCTGTTTTTTTTTAAGGTGGTAAAGCAAATGATCGTTTAGCAAGTCAAGGTGGAAAAAAGAGAGGAAGTGTAAGAACTTTATTTCTGTTTATACAAATTATATTTTACACGCAAGGAAGAAGTTAGCACTTCAAATTTTGCTGATGCTTGTTATATTGTGCACAAGCGAAGCCTCCCGGCAAAGTTTTTCAACCATTATAAATCTAATGCAGTTATTTTTGTATATTCGAAATGTTTAAATTACAGGTGCCACAATTGGCCAGTTCGAGTTCATCGTAACTGAGTAATGAGTGCGACATAAGTTGCGGGAGCGCATTATAGAGTTAAATAGAAGCCAAGCAGCCTGCGTCACGAGTTTGTGCAATTTCCTGAACATTAATTAAGGAAAAAGTAAACTTGCCTTATTTGGTGAAAATTGCTAACAACATTCAATATTCTTTTTTTTTGTATTCCAGTTGATCAAGAGCTCAAGGTATGTGTCACACCACTTCATGATTTTTTAAAAATGAAACCACGGCAGGAATTTGGAAACTCTTGAGATTCCAGGTGTCTGAGTGTCTAATCAGCGTGTATTGTTGAGAGAAAATAGATAGACAGGACACACGAAAAAAGAAAATCTAATCGATTTAAATTTTTTTGTTGTAAATTTCGATAGAAAAAGGGTTGTCTTAGTTTGTCAGCCAGAACTAAATTCTAGTTTCTAATGGGACTGTTACAGGGAAGAAGGCATTGGATCGAACCATGTGTGACTATAGAATGTAGCCTATTTATGTATTGTATAACATTAGCGTTTTGCCGTGTAAAAACGCTAAATACTCTTGTTAATATGAAGAGCCCTCATTTTATAGTCCCTAAAAAAAGAAAAAGAAAATGCAGAAAAGTGTTTTAAGTGTTAATGGTTCGAGTGTCCTCACTGTAAAGAATTTTATACATTTATTTTCGTGAACCCTTCGTGAGTAATGTATTCGAAGCAATGAACAGGCCCCTATAAAAAGGTTCAACGCTCTCCGGTATAAAGAAAGCAAGTTAGTGGGTAGGGCGCGAAAGAAGTGTTGAAGAAAGCACATGCCAGGTGAGCGACGTTTTTCTACACTCTAGTCTTTAATTGCTTTTGTTGCTATTTGTCTAAGTGCTTTCAAATAGGGCAATGCTCCGTTATAGCTTGTTGTCAGTTTTGCAATGTAGCAACACTTATTTTCTTCAGAAAAATCGAAAAGAAATCTTATTTTGAAGACACTTGCGGGCGAAATGACGCCTTTCGCGTCCTCTGTACTCTCATAAGGCACATACTTCAGTTAAATGCTCTGCCTGGCGGATAGAGAATATATAACTGAAAAAAAATTCGTTTTTCCTATGATATACCAGAAAGAATGTTGCTTTAAAATGAACTGATTTAAATCTGTTTTACATCTGACACGCGCAGAATGCTGTCTTTTCTTGGTTCTCTTTCAAGCCATGCTTAAATTCAAAGCGCAGTTGCCTGAAGCAACATTTTTATTGTATACTTTTTTGTCTTAGGTTGAACATGTTTGATTCCGAAGAAGCGCCTGGTATTTCAAACAGCGAAACAGCAAATCTCTTCAGAAAAGCTTCCAGAGTTATCAGGTTTAACATTCCATTCCTTTTATTCTGAGGATGGTATTAGTAAGTGACGTAGGCAGATGGGTGCAACGCCTAGGGCTTGATCACGTGCTATTTGCAGCTGTAGTTGCTAAGTAAAGTGACGTATCGTCATGGCGACGAGGTCACGTGAACAGTTTCAGTCTGTTTAGGCTATTTCTGATTGGAAGATTAGGAACCGAAAACTGTTCGGCTCCTTCAGCGAGGATTTATAGAACACGACGGAACACTCGAACCAAGACTGCATAAGTTCTCATTTACCGTGTCATCTCATTCGTTGTTGATTGTTTTGTTTTCAGGAGAATGCAAAGTAACAAACAGACAACCAAGGTTAGAACGCAGTTAATGTCGCCGTACATTCTGCTTGTTTTAATAAAATCTACCTAGCTCAACGATCTCCTTCAATGATGTAATTTTACTAAATCCCTTCTTTAGTTCTGCCCCAATCGATCTTGTTGGAGATTTGCTTTCTAAATCTTCTAGGCGTCGAGTTTATTTTGTAATTTATTTGTGGTGTATTTGATTTTTGTAGCCTCTATCCAAGATTCGTCAAGGTCTGGAAACCAAACGAGACATGACTGTTCGGACGTTTGATTACCTGTTTAGAACAATGCAGCGAGGCAAAGGCACACCCAAAAACCCGCCTACAGTCAGCGCTCAGTTCCAGGTTGGTTTTTATTCAGTAGTAAGAGTTGTCACAGGTCAGGAGAACAGAAAAAATAGTTCTTGAAAGGGAAAAGTCAGGGTATGTTATTTTGAGTCAGGAAAAATTGACTTTTTAAATAAAAATCGGAGAAATTTGAAGTAATTTAACACCGCTGAGTTTATACAGTTGAAGGCTGGAAGAAACATTTGGGGTCACTGTGATCTCAACGATGTTTTTCCTTAATGAAGAAGGAGAGAACAGAGGGAATTTTGACGTGTTCAGATATAGAAAGAGATGTTTACTACATACAGAGCTCTAACAGGAATTTTCAAAGTTTTGAGATTAAACCGACTTTTGTGAGCTGAGTTGCAAAACGTCAAAGTTTGTGAAGTATCTTACATTTAATCAAGTAAAATTATGACAGTTTGCAGCAGTAATATTACGTACCCGTGGTGTATACTTAATGTTCGTTTTAGCCGAAACAAACAAACAAGAAGTGGGGGGGGGTATGAAGAGGTTTCAGTAGGTGAGAGAGGTTCGGCGTACAGCTGTGGCCGTTGAAAAGAGGTCGTTTTTATTTGTGAGTCAACCGTAATGTGATGGTATTTAGTGTGGTGTTATTTTCGTATTCTTCTTTCAGTCCTCTCTTATCCGCCTCGTGGAAATCCTGGAAGAGGCCCAGCCATTCTTTGTTCGCTGCATCAGATCTAACGCGGAAAAGGTAAGGAAATGCTCAATAATAATACTGCTCACTGATTGAAATTCTGTAGAGTGTTTTCACTCACGTGGCCCCCAGCCATGCAAATTTATTGGAACAAAAAAAAAGAATTTACTTGAAAATATTCAAATCCCACAGGAATGGTTTGGCACACCAATATGGCTGCCATGACGTCATGTAAAAACACTCTATACCCATTCTTATTCTTTTATTGATTCGTATTGATTTTGAAATTTGGTTAACCATGTCACCCTTGTTTTTAGGCACCTATGACATTCGATTGTGACTTGGTTATTCGACAGTTGAGGTATACAGGAATGCTAGAGACTGTACGAATCAGGACGCTTGGCTATCAGTGGCGATTCACGTTTGAGGTCAGTAGTTTGCTTGATGTTTTAACAGCTGTTTTGATGAAACGTTGTCTGTAGGAACCCTGTGCCTCCTACGCAGCCGTTCTTTGTGTGATCAGTGGGCGGAGGGCGTAAGATTACGTGAAAAATCATCTGCTCAAGGAGGAGTAGGTTGAACAGAACTCGGCCTGGACGCGCTGAATCGACATACCGGTATGAAACATGAAACATGAAACATGTAAGAGTCCAGTACTTTTGGCTAACGTTGATACCGAACTGACAAGATAATCCCATCTTACCTGCTCGGGGAGCAAATCGCAGCAGAGGTTTGGTTCGTCTTGCACGTCTGCGAAGCTAGCAATATAATAAACTCGTGTTTTGTCGTCTCTTTTTAATTTAAATCGTACCACACAATTAGTCGTGGTTATTGACTACAAAGTCGTTTAGAAATCTACTTGAACAGACGATTTTGGCAAAAGTAGACCATCAAAGGGAAAAAAACGGTAGTCCTTCATTCAAATTTAACCAACTCTGGTAAAATTAATGCTTTAGTGTGCGATATATGATGCCCAAGAATAATTAACAGTAGCAGATGTGCGCGTTGTCGTCATTTGACTACAACTACCAGAATTTCTTTCGTTTTTTCTTTATTATTTAATTCCCAGTGGGGTTTAGATAACAATTGCCCTAATTAGCATAAGAAACAGAAAAAGTGAAGGATTCTGGTAGCTGTAGTCAAATGACGCCGTCATGCAAATCGCCTATTAGGAAGTTTAAGAAAACAACGACGGCAACGGCAACGGGAACGTCGCGAAACAAGATTTAATGAGCAGAACAATGGCTTTGCACGTGCGTTATAATTCTTGGTACATTTCTTTGCCGTCCTGTGCAGAACAACAACATGAAATGACCAAATTCTGCGTTGCCTGGAGAACGTGAACGACGACGGCTAATTTTTTAAATTTATATTCCCAATTTAACACTGTGTTCCATATTCAGTTTCGAGGTAGTTTTGACAGTGACAAACAAACTAAATGACTTTAGGGTATCGCAAGATTCGTAGGTAAAATATAAGTTCATTTTTTAACCGACGTTGTCCTCGGCGTCGCCGTCGTGGTTTCTTAAACTCCCTATTATTCCGCGAGCGCGCGTTGGATATGTGATGACAAGCCAATGGAAACTCTTGAATTGCATTACCCAATGATCCAGTTTTCAATCAAAGAGTATAGACCACGGGAAACTCTATTATTTTTATTTTTATTTTAAAATATTATTATTATTATTACAACCACCAAACAATACAATATTACGATATTACATTACAATATTAACATTTTTTTCTTACAATTCTGTTGTTTAATGAAGCCAATCGACCACAGCTTTATTAAACTATTGTCGATTTGTTTGTCGCCAGGACATTGAAAATTTAACTGCTAAGGAAAGGGAAATCCTTGTGGAGTGTCGTGCGCGTGACAGCTGACAGCTCGTGACAGCTCGTCTGACTGAGGCTGTAGAGTTTGTCGGAAATTTTTCCTCAATGTTTCAATCGATATTTGCAACCTCTTCGATTTCTGTTTCCTTGTCGCGACAAGTCGCGACAATTGCCCGAGGTTTGTGAATTTACCCTGCTTTGCGCTACAAGTTGTATCACAGGCTGCGTCATTTCAGGGAAGAGCTAGGGAAAATTATTCTAAAAAAAGTATTTTAATCACGCCTCCGTTGTCAGTAAAGCGCGTGATAACCACATGAGACTTTTGTCACCTTATGAGACCTTGATGAGAGCAATAAGCATGTCGAAATTCCATATTCCAATTCTGAACGGTTTCTTTATGATAAGTAAAAATGCTGAGATCGTCGCTAATCAATGTCCTACATAATGGCCACGATCGCTACAGCATAAAAAAATGCGCGAGAGGACCTGGATCAAACAGTGACGCGGTTTATCATCGTAACATTCGCTATATCTTCGAAGGGTGGTTTCCTCTGATGGTAATGATCATGCACTGCAGCGGCCGTCGCCACAACGATCGCTATGTCAGCTGAAGAGGCGATCGCTGAGCTTCCTAGAGATCATATGGAAGCCGCCCTTAAGAAACCATAAGCTCAGTGTTGAACTGAAGAAAATCGTGGAAATAATAAGGGATTTCTGAGGGATTTTGAAACGACTTTTTGAACGTGTGTAGCCACTTGTTTTGCTTGATAGGGCATTGACTTTTGGTTGCACTTGATGAGTTACATTACCAGTATCGTTCGTCAGTTTTTATAGCAACTGTCCAGTTATTGATCATGAGTTTTTTCCTATAACAAAAACTCAGAAGGAGCAAGCGTAGACTTCCGCTAGGTAAAAGTGCGAGTGAACTGACTTGATTTCGTACAATACAGTAATTTTAAGGCAAATACTGAAACAGAATTTTTGTTGCTAACATACATGTATGCCATGCAGAAATTCATGAGAATCAGTTGAATTATTACCAAAATAAGTACTTTTGACTCGGCAGAATATAGTTATTTCTATTCATCGAGTTCCACAACAAAGTTTGACGATTCTCGTTTACGGTTGAATCCAGTGATGTAATGGGCGTGCGGGGAAATTGACAGTCATTGGAAAAAGTAATTTTCACCGATGAGAAACGAGATGTGACCTAGTTAAAATTCGTTTATTAGAGGAGTTATTCTGAGTCCTAAGTCCTTAAATTGCTCTTGGAAATATGCCTCGTTAACGTGTTTTGGCTGTCGCAAACGGAAGAGTAAACGTTCTTTTTATAGTTTTACTGGCCTGGGCACGTTTAACTGAGTTTAAGAGTCGAGCACGTTTTTAGGCCAGACTTGCGTATGTTTACGTGTGAGTACGTGCGTTTAATACATAGTAAAAGGAACTCGTTAAAACACTCAATGAAAGAAAAAGCCGCAACGCTCGCGACTGATTCCACCGCTATAAATCGATATGACAAAACTAAGGGTATTTTTTGTTGCTTGTAACTGCTGCTATAATTACTTAGTTCTGTTTAATATGATTCGTAGATGACCTACCTTCTTTAGATATCCTTTTGGTGGACTAGAAAGGATCGTTTTTCCTAGATAAGAGAATTCAATTCCCTTGTGCGGTTTTCCGTTTTTCGTACCTTTTATCTCTTTGTCCTTGAAAGACAGCCAAGCGTAGCCCATGAAATATGTACAGTGTCACATTCAGTGATCAGACCCTCGTTTTTAGTGCGAAGTTCGAAAGACGGAGTACTTCTAAGGTTGCTTCAAGTAAGCGAAATGCTAGCGAGTTCCTGATCGAAAATGTGACCTTCATAAAATTCAACATTTTTGTCAGTTGGACACAATATGATTGTAGTACTCACTAAAAGACCGTAACCGAAATCTGTTAACCTCGTAGGGGTAGGTGAGGGGGCATTTGAACTCCCTCGCAGGGGAGGTGATTGCATTTGCATATTCTAGGGGTTACTAGAAAGTAATTTTTTGATCGCAGAATCCAAACAAACATGGCATCTTGTGTCGGTGGTTTTCTGCAAGCTACGAGACGGGAAAATTCCGCAGTTAGAACCAAAACACACCTTTAAAGAGTTCGAAATGGTAAGAAATAAACATCTAGAAGCAATGATGTCGTTCTCTGGGTTGCCAGAAGGTCTGAATCAAAGGTCTCTTTGAATACATGTAAAACAAAACCGCGCTACCGAACACTGCGGACAATTTTAGAAAGGGCTCTCTCGTCTACAGTACGGAAACATCGCAAGTTCAACCAAATGTATCGCTTATTAAATTAGCATTCTCTTCTAGAGGAATTAGTTTGGCGTTATAAACTTTTGCGTTCTCCGCAGATGGAAAACAACACGCTTTGCATGGATAGCAAAAAAATATACTTTCAGTTTGGAGAACTCTTATTGATAAGTCGTATATCCAAGTGACTAGTTTTCATGAGCTCGATCTTTATGTCACCTGTTAATTAGCGTTATAGATATTAGCCTTACTCCTGCCGTGAAATGAAACCGGGGTTGATAACTTCACACTTTCCGTTGGAACCCGCTCGTTACGTAATAGTCCACTCAACGTTTGACTGTGAGAGAGTTCTCCATGATGCACAATCAACTGTTTATAAGACTGACCTGTGTCGTCTGGCGTTGAAGTATTTTTTGTTGTCATGTTTGGGATCATCTGCTTATTTGCGCAACCTTGTGTGGGATTCCCTCTTTAACAGACCCAGTATTTGACCTTATTTATGTGTTATATCTCTATTAATTTTATGAGAATGTTTTCATTGGATAGCGCTACAGAACTTAGCAGATTTTGGCGTTGCATAAACGAGTGTTTTTGTTATTATTNTTTTGTTGTCATGTTTGGGATCATCTGCTTATTTGCGCAACCTTGTGTGGGATTCCCTCTTTAACAGACCCAGTATTTGACCTTATTTATGTGTTATATCTCTATTAATTTTATGAGAATTTTTTCATTGGATAGCGCTACAGAACTTAGCAGATTTTGGCGTTGCATAAACGAGTGTTTTTGTTATTATTGACCGAACTAGTAAAATGCACGAGTATTATCGTAAGGGCTTAGAAAGTGTCTAGTGTGTATACCCCATAGGAAGATTTTTCAGTGGTGTGAAAGCGTTTGGCACCGTAGGCTCTTTGTCCTCATCTTTGTTTTTGTCAAGCTTTCTTAAGTTTCTCATGCCAAATTCAGCGAGTAATTTCTGGTGCCGGTGCGATGTGGTTAATTAGTTTCACCTGTGTCTTGAGACTGCACAATTCATTATTTTTGGCCTTAGGAATACCATTTACGGCTTGGTACATTGACGTTTATTTACGTTGTGTATTTGCGGTATTGCCGGGACAAATTAGGATTAAAGCAGATATGTGGATGCAACATTTTCGATTCGGAAATCTCGCATGATAACTTTACCCGGTCGCTGAAATGAACTCAGGAAATGAAGAAGGAGTTGATAACTTTCATCACCTGCAGCGTTCAGTTTGGAATCTTCATTTCTTTCGTTTTTTCGTGAGGTGTTCACGGCTTAACTC